ATTGTACACCTTCAAGTGGGGGTAAACCTTGGAGACCAAAGATCTCCCGGGACCGCCCACTACCTTGGCAAAACGTGCCAAGGATCCGAAGAAGACCTCCGGGGGGTAATCCCGGAGGCGTGCCTCTTTTACGAGGCAGATGATGGATGTCATAGCAGCTTCGTCGTCCGTGGAGGTTCGCCATAACCAGAGCATGGATGCTGTAAGTGTCATCTTCTTGACCTTCTTTGCAGAGTAAGACTGATAGTCTTGCATCGACTGGAAGTGGATAATTCCACGATTAATAATGCAAGACTGTTTTTTTGTACGTGGATGGACATGGAATCGCATCGGGCATGGTTCAACAAACAGCTTTGATCCCAAGAATTCCCACGTGTTCCTGTCATCGTCTTTCCTTACTAGATTCAAGGTCTGCGGATAGCAGCTCTCAAACCTATCTAGAATGCTAAGGACATGCCCAAAACTCCCAGCGACGGTAGTGTCATACACCCCAAGTACGGACACATCGTCTAACAATCGGACCCCGGTAATCAATTGCCGGTCATTCTGGAGTGAGCTCAGGAAATCAAACTCAGCCTTCGCGCAGAGTAGATCAGCGAGGGTAGGGGATGAGTTCTTGCCCATTGGTATACCAAACACCTGTTGGTATACTTTCCCTTTGCAGATCGTGTAAGTATACTGAAGTTCGTAACGGACCATCTGTAAGATCCGATCGAAAGGAAGGTCGATGTACCCTTCTTCCTTCCTTCCGTTCCTCGACATCTTGCATACTTTGCCACGGATGCTTACCTTTGCCCCCACGATGTCGCGAGAGCTGTACACCTGGATCAACCAGACCACGGCGGCCAGAATGTCGGCATGTGGAAGCCGAGCAAACATATCTTTGATGTCGTAGCTCTTTCCGAGGATCGTGTCCCCGTTCTTCTCCAGCTTCTTGATTCCACGCGTCAGTGACGGTTTAAGATTATCCGTAGATCGTAGGCTAAAATGACTGGATCGTGGAAGTCCTACGAGCATATAGCGGAGTGTCCTTCCAAGTCGAGCGCTAGCTGTCTGAGAAGGTTCGGAGCATGATGGCGAGATCGGCCTCCATCTTGAAAGATCCTTAACCTTTCGGAATAACATACGATCTTCCAAGTTTTCCGCCTGTGCGCCACGTGGCAGTAGTCTGTAACCCGCAACTTTTATAGGCCTCGCTGGATGCAGCCAGGATGGTTTCCTCGCTATCATTCCGACGGCAGAAAGCTGAGTTCCAGCGGTAGGCCATCCGAAAAGCATGGAAATACAGAGTCGGGCAGATAACAAGGGTCGCGCCAGGATTCCTGTCCAGTGGGACCAGGACAAGTTCGATGCCGCACCGTCCGTTCTACTTGCTGTACTGTTGGAGCGGCAGGTGTCATACTTATCTTGAAACAATCGTTAATGTCATCTTTCTTGATCTGTAGCAACTTCGCTCTCCACGTCCTCGGGACTGACCGTACAACACACTCAATGAGCTGGTCTCTGGTCATGGATCGTCCGCAAGTAATGTTCTTAGAGTTATGTACGAACGGGGGAACCCCTTCGATCTCAGTCAGTCGGACGCGTACGTGACCTTGATACCTTGGGAACGGCCATCGGGCACACGTGCACTCGTCCGATCCGGTTTCAAGTTTTTTCCTAAAATTGTGGATGGCACTTCCCACCGTTCTGCCTTTCAGTCTAACCACGCGCAGCCTTTCTATTACAAGAGATCATATGGGTTCATCGGAAACAGCCAGTGTAATAATCTTAATTACGAAGTTCCTAACTGCGCACAAATCTATCTGAGCGGAAAACGGAACTCTAATAAGAAGTCGTTTCCTTACTTCGATCCCAAATCGGTCCCTGATAACATGAGATAATCTCGTCCGTAGTGAGCTCCTAGTAGAACTCCTTGAGAACAGACCAGCGGTGCGGTAGAGTGCTACCAACCTCCTGCTAGTGAGCCGATACAGGTCCCGGATCCGCCAAGGTTGCGCTAAAAGGTCCCGAAGGTACCTTTTGTTCAGTTGTGCACCTACAGGGGTCTTTATCGGTCGGACGATCCGGAAAACGCAGCCACCTTCTAGTTCCGCCTTACAGCGCCAGAGCTTCCTGGGTGAAGTCCCAATCACAACGTCAAACTCGCCGTAGTTTCCCCGAACTTTCTTCCAGGTATCGACCCAGACGTTGCCGCAGGTGGAGCGGAGGTGGATTTCCGGCTTCGGTGGTGACACACCGTCCAGCAGATCATTCAAGGACGCGTACAGCTGTCCGCAATACTCAAAAGTGATTACTCCACCTTTCTTCTTCGTACCAGATGCTTGGTACTTACTTCTCCGTCGTCTTCTTGGTCTGCCTTCGGGAGCTCGTCCGATCGTGTTAAGCACTGGAGAGAAACGACGAATCAACATTCCTTCCACGGTGATCACATCTTGTACTTCCATAACCAGCGGAAGAACTATGTACTTCTGCCACCCATAGTGTCTCAGCCAGGAGTTCAGTTTCGGGGCACTACCCGATCCGCCTGATTTTGAGCATCTCACATGCTCGGCCCATCTGGTCACGATCCTACGGACAGTACAGCCAATGTAGAATCTCCTACAAAAAGGACTAACGAGAGCGTAGACACCGGATCGGTTTACATCTACACGCAAAGGATCTATAAAACGTACTAATTTCCGAATCCACGGAATACAGCCGCGGACAGCTAATAACAAAATCAGCAAAGCAAGCTCATTCTCATCATCCTTGACGAAAAGCGGGCATGCCCCACTTCTATCTCTCCCCCCACGCTTCGTTAGCAGCTCGTGGATACGCCCTGCAACGGCGTGAGACGACGGGGCTCCCATCAACGAACCTGTTCAAGTCCGTCCGTGTTCGGCCTACTAGTCGGAGTAGGTCGTTCGAAGAAACCTTCATACGCCAACCTGGTGCGACAACGGACAATCTCCTGAGATTTCTTGTGCCTTGAGACCGGACAGGATCTTCATTTGAGCGAGAGCGTAATCTACCAACCCTTCACTAGAAGCTTCTGCGGCGCAGGCCTTCGTCGGCGTTTGAAAACCTTCTTCGTTGACGGCTTCCTGGCTTACTGGTGCCTTCCCTTTCTTCGAGTTGTTCTTGCTGCGGCTCGTTGGTCGACGCTGAGCGGTATTGTCCTTCCTCCCTTTCTTCCGGCTTTCCAAAGCTTTAATGAGCTTTCCAACCTCCTCCTTCACATCTTCGCTATCATCGTCAGATTCCACGATGTAGCCTTTAATCTCGCGTAGGATCTGAGCCTTGGATCGCGGTGAGCGTCTCTTAGGTTCGATCGCTGGTAGAGGATTAGGAGCTGCCGTTAGTATCTCTTTCCTCTGCGTCAAAATGCGGACGATCGTGGCCTGCAGCCCTGCTTCCCGTGCTTCTTCCTCCCGCAATTTCTCGCTCTCCCGTCTCTCATCTTCTTGCTTCTTCCTAGTTTCTTCCTCCTCTCGCTTCTTCTTCTCTTCCTCCTCTCTCTCGCGTCGTGCAATGCGTTGAAGCAGTTCCCTCATCTCGCTATTGTCTTCCTTCGGCTTCTGCTTGTTCTGTGCTTGCCAACAATTGCGGGCGTAATGCCCGATCTTTCCGCAGATGTAACATGTAACCACTCCATACTGCGTAGCAGGAGTGTTAATAGTCGGGACGGCCATGCCTCCTAATGGCGATCCCCCCAGATTCTGCCCAGCCATCCCTTGAGGTGTCATCACCAGGCTGCCTTGTGCGCCTAAACCTTGGTGTCCATATGCGGTACCGCCCATCCCTTGCCCGCTGACGCCTGGTCCCATCACACCCGCCATCGTCGCCTGCATTCTAGTCTTGCAGAGTACTGAGAGCAGTCCGCAGAGTAGTACAGGTGCGATCAAAAACCTTGAACGTACTAACCAACAATGGTTTAACCCTCTTTTTATAAATCAACGAAGCGTGTCTAGAGCACTTCACGATTGGTTTCAGAATAAGGTTATATAACGTCTCTATGAGTCTACTACTTCTACCGAGGGAATCGATCAGAACTCTTCTCACTTCAGTGTTATGTCTATCAGGGATATTCATCCGGATGAAAACGGTCTCGATCATCTGTCCGAGGATAGTATGAAGTCGTCGTAGACCTCGAAGATGCTTGAATATGAGTAAACTCAACTTCAGCATCCTCGACCTTCCGCCCATCTCGTCCTTACTTACCCACCTTCTTACCTCTCACCAAACTCACGGTTTTCCACTGCTGAAGGCAGTAGAGAACCAACGTGACCACTCTAACGCAAAGGAGCAAACGTCGGTCGTCACGCCTACCCAGAAGTTAAGGGTAAAAGAACAGCAACACACTGTCACACGGAGGACAAAACCAAGATTTTTGTCAAACACCGTCAAAATTACGCATTCCCTCGACGCGTTTCGGCTTGTGCGTGGCAAGCCTCTTCAGGAGGATAATCATATTAGTGAAGACACATAAGTATCTTCAGCATCTTTATAGCTCACGAATGCACGATAATCCATCAACCCAATCTTTCTCTATCCTTCCACCTTCTATCCGCCAGCCTATCCACCATCACCCCGTGCATACCCTGATCAGAGCAACCGAGTGCGCTTCTACCCATCTTCGTATCCCTTCCTTGCATTACCACTAAAGTGAGAAGAGCGCTATCTGGGTGTAGTCGATTCCTAAAGTCTGTAGGCAAAAAAAGTAGTAGCCGAAACCCGGCGCTGCACCTAAGATATACGCGCGTGTCTATTCTTCAATTTGTCGTCGCTAAAATCCCTCGGCGGGATTGGGCTGAACCGGTGCCCAAAAAGAACGTTCCACTGTTCAGAACCTAGCCACAAAATTGGGCTGAACAGGGTGCCCACACAGGCGTTCGTTGGTACCAGATCGCCGTTCTGACGACATCAAAACCTGACCATCTTCGGCCCCGGGAGGGCCCAAATGACAGTACCAGAGGTGCCCAAAATTTTTTAACAAAAATAAAAGGTTCCGCGCGAATTCAGGAGTCAGTAGCGAACGCAATCCGAAGGTGACGGGAAAATAAATAAAATAGAATACAAAAAATRCAAAAAAATAAATAAAATAAAATTGATAAGAACTAGCTATTGTACACCTTCAAGTGGGGGTAAACCTTGGAGACCAAAGATCTCCCGGGACCGCCCACTACCTTGGCAAAACGTGCCAAGGATCCGAAGAAGAAGAAGAAGAAGAAGAAGAAGAAGAAGAACACGAGCAAGACCCAATGTCACTTCCACTTCCTCTCGCCACCAAATGCAACCTCCAGCATCTCTCCCAACATCTTATTAATAACAATAATCAACAACAATAATGCTTGAATGAACCAGAATCAATGTGCGAATCCTTCCCTTGCCGCCAGCCACTCAAGAAGTCCACCATAGCCATCCTACACCTCCTCCTCCTACTTGGTCGAGCTGGTGGCTATGGCGGACCATCAGAGCTAATCTCCGATGTTCAAATTACAACGCAAAGCTACTATGTATCTCCCACGATAGCCGCCATGCCTCATTCTATCACCCGAGCCTTCCTCCCAAGCATAACCCCACTTGGGGCCTTCCAGGTGCAGCATCAACCAAGAAGATGAAGATGCAGACCACCATAGCCAAGGTAAGCTCCTTCTTCACTCTCCTCCTCCTTCTTCCTCCTCCTTCTCGTTCTTCTTCCTCCTTCTTCTTCCCACCTCCACCTTGGTCACCTCCGCCATAGCCGAGGTGGGGGCCAAGCTCCACCTCCTTCCTCCACCCAGCGCTCCTCCATGCTGGCCGGTTGCTCCAGCAGCGTGCCTCCAAGCTGCAAGCAAGCAAATGAGGCTGGACTCTTCACCTCCTCTCTAGATAAACCGGACTAGTGCCTCTTTGCGTGGTCACTTCCAGGCCGCATGACCTCCCAAAGCTACCGGTACCTTAATTACAGTCTGATATCCCCTCCCTGCAGGGTCTAGACTCAGGCCTACCAGACTGGTACCTACCTCTAAGCCTACCGGACCTCCAAAATGCTACCCGGCCTCCTAAGGTACTACCTTTTTGTCCTATCTGCTACCCTACCCGCTGCTTCTTGATTCTGGGCTCTACTTTCCCCGTTGCACCCCACAAGTCACATGGCCACAGGTAAGTACTGGTCCGCGGGTCTTATCAACACATAGGCCCTCAACAACGGCTCACACACACACACACACACACACACACACACACACACACACACACACGCACACACACATGGGTTCTTGGACACAGTAACACACGGGATATCAGCCAGCACTCAGCAGAACACGGAAATCTCAGCAAATCAGTCCCACACACAGCAATAATCAGAAAATGTCAGATTTCTCAGTCTGCAATTGTGCAGGTCATTGCAGTTATAATGGCCATGTGTCCTGGCCTGGGAGACTGAAGGGTGGTGGGCTCTAACTCCATTCTCCTCCTCCCCCTCCTTGGTGGCAAATATTCCTCCATGGCAAACAATTGTAATTTTTATTTTATTTTCTAATGCAAATGTATACTTACAGCCTCTTATATGTTCTTCTTCTGACCAGAGCTGTATGAGAAGAGATGAAGCTGACATATGGGTGGTCCCACTCCTCCAGTCGTGGAAAAATGAGTGTGCCTGTGACAAACGAGTTACAGTCAATGACATCACTGACAGAGTCAAAGTTAAGACTTAAAAATGGATTTTTATTACTCATTATCATGACATTATGTCAAATTTTAAATTTTTATTATATTTTGTCAACTTTTGTGATAATTTTTTTATTTTTATTTTTTTAGGTTAAACCACCACTACCTTTCAGCCTGGGAGGCTAAGTCATAAAAGTAACCGCTACCGGATTCTTTGGGGGCCTGCGGAGGCTGGGCGCTTCCGGACCACAAAGGCTGGTGGCGCGCCAGCCAAAAGAAAACAAAAACGCCGCGATGGCGCTTCGGCCCCCCGTTGGCGCGCAGTTCGGCTCTGCCTCGGCAAAAAGAGGCTCGAAGGTAGTGGTGATTTAACAGAAGTTAAATAAACTCATTTTTTCCAGAAACCGGACTGACACTCCCCCCCTCAGAATGGATAAGCAGCCAGGGCATAATTTCCTGATTAAAAAATGGGGGGGGGAAAGGACAACGGCAGAGAGAAGTAAACAGTGGTCCTCTTATTTCGTTTTTCCTTTGTGATCAACGATAGCTCAGTTGGTACACCCTTGAACTGTTGAAAATTGAAATACAGAGCTGAGTTCGACATCCAATGCAAGCAGATGAGAAGAATACTACAATTCTGAATTGCCTAGGTACAGGCAGTTCTATCATTTGTGATGATATCTCAAGGCCGTCGCCCTTTTTGAAAGAGTGAAAAGAAACAGGAGCTTGGCTGGTAGTAATCGTCCTTCTAAGGGAGCAATTAATGCTGCCAGTCTGAACTCCCCAGCCTTCACGCAGGAAGACGTAACAGAGTGTGAGCTTGTTGTAGACTTGATGTTAGTTTTCTTCGGGCCTCAGGTGGAAGAAAAACAGGACTGGTCTCCACAGAATAGACTGGAGCCGGGAGCTAAAATAAAAGAGGAAAGAAAAAAGGAAGTGTGTTTCTGTACCTGCACTGTTGCTGCTGAATGAATGGTACACACATGTAACTGCCAATGACCAGAAAGAGAATAAGCTGAAATCCTGATTGATTCACTACGGATAGGGAATAGTCCCCGCAATGAACCGATTCGTCTTCAAGACCCAATTGCAACTTGCAGCACACAAAAAGCTCAAAGAACATTCAGCCAAACACCAAAGTAGCAAATCAGCCCACACGAAGATGGAAACACCTCAAAACACTTGGTATACAAGAATTGAGTTCCGAATACAAGCAGTTATGGCTGCTGTCGCCAACAAAATCAACAGGTAACTCTCTCTCTCTCTCTCTCTCTCTCTCTCTCTCTCTCTCTCTCTCTCTCTCTCTCTCTCTCTCTCTCTCTCTCTCTGTGTCTGACTGTCTGTCTGCCTGTCTGTCTGCCTGCCTGTCTGTCTGTCTCTCTGTCTCTGTCTCTGTCTCTGTCTCT